CCAAGCTTCGGACAGCAGACATCAAACGGTCCGCCAATCTGTCCGCTCAATTAGCAGGGCACTTTGTGGCGGCGGTCGCCGTTTCTACAAAGGAAGACGCTGTCTTTGTTGTCCCCTCTGGAACGGCTTACCGCTTCGTGGCGACGTGACGTCTCATCCGCCGGCTAGCCGTGACAATACCTGGCGGGCATAAGCATTCGGCGAGTCGGCTACTTGTTTGAGGGTTAAAAGAGCGCCGCTCCCCCGTCAGATCTCGACGCTGGTTCCAAGAAAACCTGGGTTCCAGGCGTGGGAACGCGGCCCGGCTACGCTTCTCAGCGACAGCATGGCGCCTACCGATGCCGGTCATAACAGCTTCCCCCTCGCCAGATGAGTCACGGAGGGCAGCAGTCAACACTGCTGCTCGCAGGGACGACGAAAAGGTCAGTAGTTGAATGCCAGGAACTGGCCTTCGCTTGTGGCATGGTCCGGGTGATTGCCGAATCTTCGACAGCATCTCTGATACTCGACCACCTGTACAAGCAAGCACTCGGCCCCCTTCGATCAAACCAAGCCAAAAGAGGGATGGAAACCAATTTTCATTTCCTAGCTTTAACAAAAGCTCACACTCAAAACTCTCAGGACTCACTTGAGCTGAAAAACCGGACGTGCTACCTTACAAATTTACATAAGATGCACGAAAAAAACTAAAATATCAATTTTGATACAAAAAGAGCACCCCAGAATGGCTTAGAAAGGGCGGCTAAGCGTGTCAACGTTTCCATTCAATTTGCCCTTCTTTTACCTAATGCCAAAATTGTATTTTCGAAGAATCAAGCCCTGCCTCACAAGGCGACTATTCTTTTATGTCACGGTTTGCAGCCAAGTAAGGGGAAAATGGTCTGTCCCTACTTTAAATTTAGCCCCTTTGAGATAACACTGCCACTGATGAATGCCCTACACAAGGCAAGCGCACTCCTTTCTTGAAGCGCAGTACGTTATCTCCTGTAGCCCAATTTCTGGCTCAAGTAAAGTGCAGCTTTGCTTGTTACCACTGTCGTCGAGACATATAACGGCAGCCTCCTTCTTTTCTCGCTGACTACTTACACGGCTCTGTCCCGCTGAGAGCATCAGTCAGGAACTCGGATTCAGTGAGCGCTAATTTTGTCCGAACGTCCGTCTTTGTTTACGGCCACCCGTAATTGTCTACCACTGAGACATAAAGTTCACCAGCCTCCCGAAAGCTTAACCAAAGCTTTGACCTAACGGGCTACCTCAACGGTTAGGGAAAGCTTAAATGATCCGTTTATATGATCTCTAGATCAATCATTCTTCAAAGAAGACAACAACAAAAAGTGACAAACACTGCCTTCTAGCAGGTTAGTTTGGTTAGTTACCTGCCTTTGCTAACACCTTTGATTAAAAAACACTGAGTTCTTCTGAGCGCTTTCAATTATTCTCATTCTTACGGCGCTGCGAAATTCATGGCACTACTAACCAAAAGCTTAATCCTTAACAATTTGTCCAATTGCTCATCCTTACGTTATGTTGTAATTCTCTGTGTACAACACAAAAATAATCCTAGGTAAAAATACCTAAAAAGCAATTGCACAGGTTTTATGCCAAAACCGTGCACCAAGATTCTCAATGCGCGCAACGGCAACTCTACCGTGTCGCGCCAATGTTAATCGATTAATGAAATCATTTGGTTTATGTTAATATCTTCTTCCTTAAATGCCAATTCACGCCATATCCACATGACAGTGAAGGCATGCGACATAACACTAAACCTATAAACACTAGAAAAATAACACATTTTCTTGGTTTTTACCTTTACGCAAATTTTCGCACAATGATTAAATTAATTCGATGCTGACTTTCAGCCTTTGGCTCGGCGGTTTTCCTTCTGAAAATTTTCCACCGCATCACGTAACTTACAAACTTAAACAGACCAATATGCATCTCCAATTCAATAATCAGTAGCCATACTTAACACGCACGTGCAACCATTGTTAAAACTGACCGCCCCCTTTTCTCAACTAGATTCCTCTGAATCGCACACGATGGGGTCGTGGTCCCGGCAGTTTTGGAGCACGCCCGAGGCTACAAAATGCACAAACCCTAAGCAGTGCACTTCCGTCACACCTAATTTTACCCTTCGGCCTATTCCCCGTAGGAATTTGAAAGTGACGCCAGTAGCTCGGAGGGAGCCTGTGCCATTTTCTCTTTGTATTCAACCCTGCGCGGTATTTAGCCACTCTGCCCTTTCGACTTTGACCCTTCGGGCAAGGCCGCTTTCTCGAAGTCGTCGAGCGCAACCGCGCTTTTCGTTGGGGTAACGCACCTCGTTTCCCCCCTCTACACCTGGCTTGCTGCTGCTTGTGCCTCTCCGAACGCCACCATGGACGTTTCCTGGAACGGATTAACGGCTTACCCCTACGCCTTTCTCGTGACAAGGTGGGACCTGTCGTAGGCTTACGCAGTGACGAACGCTTCCGCTTCTTTCTTTTTCTGCGATGTTCGCAAATCACCTCGATAATAGGTTTGCACTGCTGAAGCATGGCGTTCTTGCTCTCACCGGCCACTGCGCTATCAATGCCTACATTTGACGATGTCGAACCGTCCTCTTGAGGCATGAAGAAGGTTTCCAGCCTCTTACTGGGCCCATTAGGGCTGCTGGCACCCTCCTCATCCACGCAAGGAGCGTCTTTCGACATCGTCCCCACCTCCAGACCGGCCACGGCCTCGTTCTCTGGTGCGATCTCTGTTTCTAGCGCTTCATGACGCGCCTCAACTTCCAGCGCTTTGCGATGCGCCTCGCTTTCAGACTCCGGTGCGAGTCTTTCTTTCTTTTTGCTAATAGAAGTTCCGAATCTCCTGATTAGCTCTGCTTTGATGACTTCATAGTTGTTCGCGTGCTGCTCACTGAGTCGCGCAACAACATCCGCTGCCTCGCAGGGCAGAACCGTGCGTAGCTTCTGAGACCAGGTGTCTCGCTCACACTTAAGTTGACTACACTTTCGTTCAAAGAGTCTGAGATACAGGCCCATATCCCATGATACCTCATATGGCTGCATGTACCTAGACATCTCGAACTCTGCCTCCTTTTCGAGAAGTACTCCTCGCTGGGGTCCCATTCTCAAACGCAACTCATAGTCTTGATTGAAAAACTTTCTCTTGAGGCCTTCTCTTTTGTGTTCACTCTTTCCTTCCATCTGAGCTGCTCTTAGTTTTCTTTCGATGATGAGGTCCCATTCTTCACTTAGTTCCTCATCATCAGCCCCCAAATCATTAATCGCTTGAATGATTATGGGTTTTCGTGCCAAACCCTTTGTATCGATCCCCAATTCCTCACACAACAGCAACAAGTCTGACTTCTGCAGCTCCCGTAAATCCATGATCGTATTGAGTGCTCGCTACTTCCAAAAATAACTTTCCGAAACGGCGAAACTGAGTCTTTCGGCAAAGTTAACTACCAGTTCTAAAATTTACCCTCTTTTAGAACCTGGTTCACTCAAAGGAAAAGCCAAGCACTCACCCATACGTGATCCATGTCTCGAGCCAGCTGCTTCTCCTGGGCCGACTGTTGTTGTCACTTGTAGCTTCGAATCCCACCGATGCCAACCAGTTGTCGTGGCTCGGGGTGCTGATTCGAATCCCACCGCTTCTGCTACCAGTTGTCGTGATCCCACCGCTGATCACCAGTCTCTTCGGGGTGCTGAGTCGTATCCCACCGCTGATCACCAGTAGTTGCGATCCCGGTGAGCTGTGGTAGCGTGGTGTAGCTTCGGATTGAGGAAACGAGCGCTTACAAAATGGGGATACGAAAAACAAACAAGGTTTATGGCACTATTTACAAATATTTACAGCATGAGGTTAAGAGTTCACAAACCACGAGCGTGGTGGTTAAACCTTTTCTTGGTTCAGAGCGACGTCCTGCACTCTGCGGCGCCGTTATAAGCCCTGTCGGGCTCCCCCTTCTTCAGTGGAACACCAATCACATACACACACAACAGGTGAGGGGTACGAGCATGCACGGCGCACGTGAACAGCCAATTTCGAGTCAAGATCACTGCACTTAAAGGTGGCGCCAAAGAGTCTCTTGCTCGTCGTGTATGTCGCTGGTCGAGGGGTTCCAAGCTTCGGACAGCAGACATCAAACGGTCCGCCAATCTGTCCGCTCAATTAGCAGGGCACTTTGTGGCGGCGGTCGCCGTTTCTACAAAGGAAGACGCTGTCTTTGTTGTCCCCTCTGGAACGGCTTACCGCTTCGTGGCGACGTGACGTCTCATCCGCCGGCTAGCCGTGACAATACCTGGCGGGCATAAGCATTCGGCGAGTCGGCTACTTGTTTGAGGGTTAAAAGAGCGCCGCTCCCCCGTCAGATCTCGACGCTGGTTCCAAGAAAACCTGGGTTCCAGGCGTGGGAACGCGGCCCGGCTACGCTTCTCAGCGACAGCATGGCGCCTACCGATGCCGGTCATAACACCACACGGATCGGCGATGACAGGTACAAGCCGTAACACCGTGGAAGGCAGTACACAACTTACGCAGCTTTGCCTCCGTTGCCGAAGTCACAGCGACACGCAGATTCACTCTGCACATCGGCAAGTGTGAACCCCATATTTGGATGGTCTACAGTGGACCACGATACGCTTGCGTCAACGACTGTCGAAAGTCGCAGTGTACTTTAGGCTGACGTGTGCCTTTTTGTATATTTTTTCCCATTTTTTATCCTCTAATCCCTTAATCCCGGTCCCCCTTGGTATACGTTGATAAACCAGATGCGGGTCTGGTTCACCTCCCTGCCTTCTTCTTCCTTCTCCTCCCTTTATGGATGATGGGTGGTGCCGTACCAACGCGCGTTTCGAATTTACATTTGTTGACGTGTAGTTGTGAGACGTGGCTGCGCCTTGATTTCATGCTATAGTGTCGTGCTCACATCCGGCTTAGATCTCGCTCAATGCCCTCCTCTACTGGAGAGCGTTCTCACTGTTGTCTTTCCTCCTCCCTCGCAGCAGTTCCGGCTGCCGGCAACGGCAGCATCGATCGGCGGATGTTGCCCAACAGGCGAGTCCACTACGAAGGAGAAGACGAGTACTACAGCGACGCGCTGCGGCGAAACGCTTACAACCAGAAACTAGGAGACAAGGTGCGTACGCGCGTTCTGTGGCGCTAAAAGGTTTAACACCAAGTTTTTCGCAGCAAAAGCTACCGCGCATTCTCAGCAGATGCGTTTAAATCGCTTCCTTGGGTCTGGGTGAATCGAGCAGAGGCTTCACCTTTCAAACACAGCTGTGACGGATGCTGTAGTTACACAAATGCTGAACCAATTGTTTCTCTCAGAAGTTTACCTTTGGCTGCATAGGCCCCACCATGGTGGTCCTATGGCTAAGGCACTCGGCTGCTGACCCGCAGGTCGCGGGATCGAATCCCGGCTGTGGCTGCTGCATTTTCGATGGAGGCGAAAGTGCTGTAGGCCTGTGTGCTCAGATTTTGGGGCACGTTAAAGAACCCCAGGTGGTCGAAATTTCGGGAGCTTTCCACTACGGCATCTCTCATAATCATATAGTGGTTTTGGGACGTTAAACCGCACATATCAAATGAAATTATTGGCTGCATAGTCATGTAACTGCATCACCCCGAAAGATTTTGATGGGACCTAGGCTTTGATGTGTGTAGTTTAACGTCCCAAAACGACCATATGATTATGAGATTCACCGAAGTGGAGGGCTCCAAAAATTTCAACCAATTGTGGTTTTTTAACGTGCACACACGCGCCTACAGCATTTTCGCTTCCAACAAAAATGCAGCTGCCGCAGCCGGGATTCGATCCCGCGATCTGCGGGTCAGCAGCCGAGTACCTTAGGTACTTGTCCACCGCGGCGGGTACACCCAGGCTGTATACTTAAAGCTTTAGCACGAACGTATAGATGACTGGATTAACTTAGGTATTGAGCAGCATATGTAGAAGAAGGACTCGAAAAGAGAAATGACGAGATAAGACAAGCTTGCTGCTACATCTGATAGTGAGTTGGGGAAGCCATGTAAAACGGTTTAATAGTTTCATCCGCAGTGCAATGCCTTATCATTATGAGAGACTTACAGTTGTCATCAGTTATACAAACAACCCGTGACCTGACCGGCACTGCTGGCTAATACGGAGCTTTGCAAAGCACTGACCAAAGTCAAGCTCTGAAAAATAATAGAGAAATCGCCAGCATATGACTTATGACAGAGTGGATGAGTGATTCAGAACAAGACATAGCTCATGCGTATTCGTTTATGCTCATGTAATGCTCCCAGATTAAAGTACAACACCGAAACGTGAAGTACAAAAGCTGTTATGCGTAATCCCCGAAATAACTTCGTTATGTCGCTATTAATCTGGCCACTAAATGTCTGTAATTTTCGCCGTCATACCTGTGTACAATACGCCGAGAGGAATTCAAAGAAGTGAAAGTCTGGGCATTGCTCATGCCACAAATAAGGCGTTACAATCCGTGGGCACTGCACCTGCAAATACATGAACTAGCCATGTGCATGCTGTCAACACCTTTATGCGTTTGACGGTGTACACTACAAAGACATGTATGCTCCAATCCTTGTTGTGTCCGTTGAGGCCGTTGCCTCTTAGGGTCATTACAAATGCCGCTTTTTTAGCATGCTGTTGCTTATTAGTTCGAGTACCCCAGCTTTGCTGTGAGTATGTTGCCGCGAAACGCAAGCAACTTCAAGCCAACATTTTGCTCGACTAAGGATGTTTCAAGAAATTACTTTACAAGTATGACTAACGCAGTACCCATACACGTCCTTTTCTTCTAGGTGGGCTACGGCAAAGTACCGGGTGTAGGTGCAAGCCAGCCTCCTCCTCCGCCCGGCCGCACCTCGGCAAGTGGCGTGGACGCAATCTACAACATCAAGGCAGACCAGCAACGATACGTTCCTTACCCAGTTCCCGGTGGCGCCCAGGGTTCTGGCCCCGGAGGCCCGTCCGTCCACCATCACCCGGGAGGCGACGTGGCCTCCGCAGCGGGACAGACCATCCTGACGACGTTCAGCCCGTCGGGCAACGGGCCCGTCTCGCCCGTGCTGGCCTCCATGCACAGCTACGGACCGCCGCTCATGGATGGCGCCGCGGTACACGACGAGATGGACGGCCATCTTGTCTGACGATCCACCGCCGTCTAGCGTGACCACCGATGACGCTAGCCTCGCAAAAGGGACACCTGCTACCATCCGCTCACCGACGTCAGAGCGGCGACTGAGTTCAACATCGGGTCTTTTGCCCGATATCCGTGCCGCTGCTTCAAAAAGAGGCCGGCAGTCGGGCCGACGCTATGCGGTGTGCGAGAACAGCCATTGTTGCACGTGAGATGTGCAAGACAGCGGACGGACGCGAGAACTGCGTCGGAGTCACAACACCGAGTACGCCGTGCATTCAAAACCCCGCGAGCCACCTCGGTTAACGACCGCTTGCCGCTCAGCAGCCGGACTGCAGGGAAAATGAACGTTTTGCGTCACGCCGTCGACGACAGACATCGCGCCAGCTCACTCCACGCCATATGCCGCTGGTTGGCGGCAGGCCCATAGTTTCTACAATAGTGAATGCGTCACTCTCGTCATTGCCGCTGAAGGAGACCCGGGAAAAACGAGACGATCCTTCTTTCCCAAAGTCATTTCTCGCGAAAGTCGGGTTTCAACGAGCCCCCGAGCAGTGTGCGCTCTCTTCAGGGATGCTATACAGAGCTTGTTGACGAGTCCACGTGAATGTGAGAGAGAGTGTGTAGCGCGTTAATTGCTGTCTTCTCACGTGTTTTCGTTCTTGCTTTCTCATTGCTTTCGTGACGTTGATGTCGGCGTGTGAGTGTATGAGTTCACGTGCCTGTGAATGTTTCGGTTTCGAACATGTGGTGACTTTGCCGCCGTGCTCGCGGCAACTCTTCGTTGTGCTCAAGTCGTGCATCTAGGAAATCGTCGTCCTCGAGTCCGTCGCCCAACGGAGTGGATTTGTACAGACGCACTGTAGACGACTTTCCATCGTGCCTTACTGCAATCTAGTAAATTTCCTGTGCGGAACTAGCTTGATTTTGAAAGCCGCCCCGATGACATCCGCATTTTGTAGTGTGTTCGTTTCTGGCCGACTACTGGACGCTGTGTGTGATGTGTCATTGCGCTCTTGGACTAAGCCTTTTTATTTTTTTTCATTTTTGCCGTCACTGAGAGAGAGTTGGCATTAAGCTCTTGCACGGCGGTTATTTATAGTAATTATGAATATGACGAAATTGTGTTGTGTTTTGTACAATTTCAGTTGCTGATGTGTCCCGCGATAGGATGACATCGTTAAGTTTCACTTGTTCTCTATGAAAATTTTCATTGCCTATGGTTTGATGTATTTAATCAGTTTTTTTTTCCTTGCAATGCGTGCACGGGCTTACTTTATTTTTCTTTCGAACACGTGACAGTGTGAATTGTGTACATAACTCAGTGCAAGCATGCCATGAAGCTGTCACTCTATTCACCTCATAGCCGCAAAGTAACCGCATTCTCTCATCACGTCTAGTCACAGCCAATGGCCAAAGAAACTGCTGTTGCTTTCACGCCAGACTGAAGCTTTCTTACCAATACCAAGTACCACATAACAAAAGATACTGTTGTCACAATTAAGGTACTTAAAACACTCTTCGATTCCTGAAGGTACTTAAATGGTCACAAGGAAAGCGAAATTCGCTGACATTTAGTTTGCTAGAGCTACTGAACTTAATAAATTGTACAATTTGTTTAGTTTATGAACTTGTATCTTCAATGCAGTTTTAAGTGAATTTGCACCACTGTCGGCCTAGATCTGTCCATACTATGAAAACAATTCATTATGATGACTTCATGCAGCTCTGAGCGACCAGCATGGCAGACATTATAAAGCCTAGTCTTGCTGACTATCACCAAAGGACCAACATGCCAACGTGCTTGCGATTCCTTTTTGGCACTAGCGAGCTGTCATGAACTTGTGAGCATCATTTTTTTGTAAGTGTTTTGTTGTGTTTAAAGGATGATAAAAATGGTGGTGACTTTTGGTCAGCGAAGACAGGCGCCACTTGTCCGCTTTCACCTCCTGTCTGCTGACACGCTTCAAAAATGTACAGCAATACACATGAATAAATGGTTTGTCCTTAACACGGTGTGTACTGTGTCGTTAAGAGCGATGTCAAAACTCCGAGAGTACTATTGCACTTTGGCATAATTCAGGATTGAATTTCTATTTAAGCATGGTGTCGTATTCTATGCACATACTAGAAGTACAGTTTAGGATATGTGTTGCTCATGAGCTCCGATCCTAGTATTCTTTGTAATTCAATTCATTTCTTTGACAATATTTAAATGGGGCTTTGTCTCAGGGCATGTTTTAAGGGACCAACGACCCGCCAAAAACGTGAAATAAGACGCCTATAATGATGAAAAGATTGTCCGTCGCCTTGACTAGATCCCACCTTCTTTTTTTTTTCCTGAGAGATGGACCTATATTTTTAGTTCTTCCTTGATAGTTTCAGAAAAGGACAAAGAATACATGACGGGTTTTAGGCATTGAGTTTTCTAAAATTAACTGGATGGAACTTTTGCGCTGCGATTGTTCAGCGACCACGACAATTATGGGTAGTACACAGATTTGCCTAATATTCATACTCGCGGGTGGCGAATATCACTTGTGGCTTTGTTTATTGCTGTGTTTCGGTTTTGTTTCGAAGGAAAGAACAAACCATTTTGATCTTTGTGAGCCGATTTGAAAGGATAAGACTAAACGAATAAGGTGTGAAGTGCAACCGCTGAAAATTCGCTAATATTGTTTTGTGCGAAAACAGCTTCAAGCCACCCGAACACACACGGAGCCAGAAGTACGAAGATTAGACAAATCCGTGTACCACCCGTCTTTTCCTTGCTCGTTGAAGCGTTGTACGTTGCAGTTCCCATAGACACTAGCGCCAGAGTTCCCTCTAGTGTATATTTAGGAAACTGTATGGTTTGACGTACGCAACCACGTGATCGGCGATTGCTGTAAATGATCAACGATATTTGTTAGGATCAAAATATTGCTCCTTTCTTTATATTACAAGTTATTACTCCATAAAATGTTCATATTGGTCTGCGTTGAAAGTATGCATCGAAGTGGCGCTGCCTTCGCGTGACGTAATGATCCCATGCTCGTAAGCACAATTTGAAGAACTGCAGCGTGCCCATGGAACGAGGCATGCATCAAGAGAGTAACCATCCCGGGACAGGTAACCCATGACCCAGGCCCAGGAAACCTTGGGCACAGGCTATAGTGAACTAAAATAGGATGTAGTGACTCGACCAGCTGGGCGCCGGCGTCAGCTTTCACACGGATACCACTGCAGGTGGCGCCGCTGCTACTTTTCTTGTTGAAGATGAGAATGCTTACGAAACCATCACTGGAGACCTACCGACCTTTTAAGCAGGAAATTGCAAGAGAAAAAATCTAAGATGATTCTCGGGGTATTTCTCAGCTCTTCGAGGCTAGAACGGGTGTATTGTGGACCAAGACGTACCAAAACAAAAAAATACGAAGGCACAGAAACGGTATGTAGTGCGTGTGGAGAGGAGGAGGAAATGGCTGAACATTTGATAATGTTCTGTAAACGGCTCCACCCTGTAGATGGAAGATAACGGTGCTGAATTTTTCAAAGCAGTGGGGTTCAGGGACAGTGAAGGCAAAATAAACCAGGAGGAGGCTAACTGATTGGTGGCTACAATCGAGGTGCGAGTGAAATTCAATCCTTAAACACACAGCGATAGTACTTAACGTTATGGCTAGGTGGCGTGAGCCACCACCCAATCTAAAAGACACAGCCGGATACACCCATGCATCCATGCCAGCTTCGGCTGCGTTGTCGGGCCATCGCGGACTCCTGCAGAGCTGTGGATGTGGTTACTCCTAACACGCGTTCGCTTTCTGGTTAATTCAAACGTAAAAGCACGAGACTAGTTACTGCATAGACAACCTGGCAAAAGCGTTGGCACGGCACCAGGAAGCAGTGACGGTTTTCCTCGGGAAATGCACACTTCCCTGCTGTTGATCACGTGCGCATATTCGCGCAGGATGTATCTTGGCTCAAAGTGATGTTCGCACACTACTGAAGTTTCGCTCAGAGGCTTGTCAGCCCTCTGGAGGTTGCGCTCCCACTTTCTGCGGAGATCGTCATTCCTATAGGATCTGCAAACAGCGACTAGAGTTACTACTGTATATGCTACCTTTAGGTAGCACTTAAAGGTAGCATATACAGTAACTCTAACAGCGACGCCTTCGGAGCGCCCCGGTTAACGATTGGGCAACCCGGAGCAAAGCAATGAGAATTCTTTCTCCGCATCGACATGTCGCGATCTACATGTTTGTTGGTTCGGGATATCTCACTATACTCGGCGACAGCTTTTCTTGACAGCACTGTGGAAGCTATAGAGCCGAACCGCCTGCATGCGCGCGTGCCAGGAAAAAGTACCTATTTCATTTTCTGATTCTAATAGCTACTTGGCCCGAATAAATAAAACTTTCTTCATTATAAAGATAGAACAAGTATGGGACGCTGTTCATGGAAAAGCAGTTATCGTGCGCCCTAGTTTTTTTTTCTTTTTTATTTCTTGGACGGCACTACGTTTTTCGCCCGCCGGCTGCGTCTGCTGTTCGCGTGTTGCGCGCAATCTTAACAACGATCTACAACAATTGTGAGGCTTCTCGAACACTGAGGCGCACTCAGCGCCGATCATTGCTGACAGCCTTTGAGGGCGTAAACCGAATACAGCAAAACTGAAACAAGACAGGCCCGTGGCCGGATCGTGCCGCAACCGGCCTTCCATTTCGCCTGTACCAGGGCTCAACACGGTAAACGTTAACATTCGATCACGTGTGGCATATATAGGGCTGAACACGGAACCTAAACTTCACTCTTATAAAGGCTGAATAATGCTGGGAAAACGTTCTGAACAACGGAAAATTTATATGTACCAGTATATAAACAGCACAGTAACTAGCTGCATGTATGCCCTCTCATCAAAGTTTAACTCTGACGTTCCCATTTTGCATGCATACATTTTGCTAAACACACTAGCGCAGCGAGCAAGCGAAAACCGAAATTGGAACCGAAATCGGCTGCAAGCTGCCGGACTGCTTGCGTAGTAATACAAATGGGCAGAGGCCCCGCCTCCGTAGCCTTCGCTCCAATGTCAAGAAAAGCTGTCGCCGAGTATAAGTACACACTCCACCCCGGTGCTGGCGACAGAATGCAGCAGATTGCACCGCACACGTGAAGTAGAGTAGCCTGTTAGAACGGGTAATGCAATATTGTAGCCTGCAAGACACACCAATCGGCTTCGCTCGCCTAGGCGTCCCGCGTCCCACAAGAGCGTAGTACGCGTACCTCAAGAACACTTGTTGACACGCACGCACACTGACCGGAGGAATAAAGAAATAGTTAGACACATGTGACAGAAGATGAAGATGCACGCATATGACAAGTACATGCGCGTTAATATAAAATTGGCAGATCCCACGTACAGTGGGAATCGATTATATGCGAAGCACGAATGAGAAATGTTACGAGGTTTAGGTAAATGATGCCGTGCGTGTCTTCCGTGTCATGATTATTATGTGCGAATGTGTCGTTTACATTCTTTATCTATTCACGCCACGTAATACATAATTTATTATATGCAGAGCTAGCTAAACAGCCGCGAGCACGCTGTGAGCGTAGTATGTTGTAATGTTCTTACAGGACACGCGTGTCAGGATTATGATGTTTGCTACACTCATATATTTAGTCATTCATTGACGTCACGTAACACCAATTTTGGTATATGTGGAGCTAGCAAAACAGCCGCGAGTGCACCATGAAGGAACCAATATACTCCAATGTAGCGTTGTCGCGTCCGCACGCTGGGCACAGAGACGCTATGTTAGGAAGACGCGAGATTTCTATAGTCTGACGCCAGGCGCGACGAGCGTCGGTCGGCGCGGCCTGACGGCAACCGGCGCGAAATGTGCCATACTTCATTTCGCGCCGATGCGTTACCCAGACAACGCTGCGTCTCTCTCTTTTCGTGACGGAGGGACGCCGGACGCGCTGAAACGCGCATGCGTCAAAGGAACGCAGCGCGGCGCGCGCCTGCGAGTATATGGCAGGACCGGCGCCTGGCGTGGCCACGCCGATGTGACGCGACGAAATTAACGCCGGCGAGCATGCGCACAGCGTGACGTCAAAATGTATTGGCACCTTGCCTGTGGCATGTAGTCATGTTCTCACATGACACGCATGTCATGATTATGTTTGCAGCAATCACACACCTTCGTCATCCATTGGCGTCACGTAATACCAAATTTTGCACATGTGAAGCTAGCGAATCGGCCGCGAACGCATCATGAGTGTGGCATGTAGTCATGTTGTTACATGACACGCATGTCGTGATTTTCATGTTAGGGTGCGGCGATGGCGTAGTGGTTAGAGCATCCGCCTCGCATGCAAGAGGTCCGTGGTTCAAATCCCGGTACCGCGCAGTTTCCAACCGGATTAAAAAAAAATCCGCGTGTTGATGGAACTGCATTAAGAGGCCTGGGGTGCGGCCTCACCGGCAAACACCGCCGAGAACGCACTCCCTCACCAGAGAAGGATTGGCCACCCTGATGCAGTATCTGGCCACTACCTCCCACATGCTTACGTCAAATAACTCACGACCCTCAGTCCCCAGCAGCTGCGAAGCAACTGACCACGGCGACGGTCAGATCTGCGACGCAGCAGAGGGTGCTAAGAATCTCTGGATCCGGACAGGCCGCCATTGGAACCTGAACTTGGCAACGTTTAACGATAGAACCTTATCTAGTGAGGGAAGCCTAGCTGTACTATTCGAGGAGCTAGAGAGTGTTAAATGGGATATAATAGGGCTCAGTGAGGTTAGGAGGACAGATGAGGCCTATACGGTGCTACAGAATGGGCACGTCCTTTGCTACAGAGGCTTGGCAGACAGAAGAAAACTGGGAGTGGGGTTCTTAATTCACAGAAATTTTGTATATGTGACGCTAACGAAATGGCCACGAGCGCATCATGAGCGTGGCATGTAGTCGTGATGTTACTTGACACGCATGTCATGATTTTCATGTTATGGTCTGTCGCTTG